AATTCCAGAGGGCCACGCAATGGGCTGGCTTGCATTAGATTTCTGCAGAGCTGGCAGCCTTTTTCTGAAAGTCTTACATTACAGGTAACCTGATGACAGGGAGGGTGGGCCACAGGCGTGCATCTCAGCCTGCCTTCAGAGCCAAGGGGAGTGAGCTTGCGAGACCAAGACCGATATGCTGGTATCGATGGAACGCTCCCGGGAACTGGCTGTTCCCCTTTCAAACGCCACCTCTGTAATCTCTCCACTTGCCCAAGTCAAATTCTTCAAATCTCTGAACTTGACACGAGGCTGGCACGATTAGGAAACGCAAAGGAAGAATGCTCTTTATAAATCATGGGTGGAGGCTGAAGGGACCAAATTCACGGACAGTTAACAGGAAGGGTCAGAACTGAGGGATATTGCTTAGAACTATGATTCTTTTAATCATGAGGAGAAAACAAAGTTTCTTAATATTTTTTTAAAGGCCCACCATATGCTGAACGTTGTGCCAGGCACTAGGTCAGGTGCCTGCCCTACAAAACCTTGAAGTTGATGCCCTGAGAAAGACACAATAGCAAAAGTGCCCCCATATCCCAAGGGTAGGGTCATTACCTCAGTCTGAGCTCACACACACATGCACAAAAACAACCTTAAGATTCTCATGGTGTCTGCACACAGACAAAACTGTGTGTGATGGATTGTGAAAAAACAGCTCTCAAACTGGCAAAGGTGCATGAGGCCAATGACCAAGGCAGGCTGACCTATACTACAATATTCATGAAGAGGCCTCATCACTAGAGTTGAGCACAAAGAGAACACTGGCCCCAGAAGAGGTCCTCACCAGCACTCTCAATCCTCAAGTAGGTGTCACAGAGAGCTTATCTTTCCTTGGCAACAACTCCCAAAGCGTTCCATAACGGTATAGATTATTCTTTTTCATGGCCATGTAGTATTTGGTTGCATGGATATGCCACAATTTTTTGAACTAGTTCCCTACTGGTGACTGATTACATTGCTGACAGCACTTTATCATTATAAATTAATATGCTGACTCTACAATAAGTGAGGCTTACTGTTACCCTTTATTTAACACAAAGAACACAAAAAGGAATCCTCATATGTGAAGCAGCAGATTAAAAATGAGGAGTAAATGTCAAAAGTTAACAGGTCCTTAAGTCTGGAAAGGGCCCCTCCTTGTCCGGGCAAGGAGCACCTGCGTCTGCTTGGGCAGGCTGAGGAAAGCAGCACAGCCAGCCTGCAGAAGTCTGCACTTAGGAGAGCTGTTATCACCCTATGTCATCGATTCATATATTTGGATAGTGGATAGGATCACAGTCCCTTGGGGCTAAAGTATGCATGTTAATAGCCCAAAAGCATTAAGAAAAAAAAAATAAGTTGATATTTTACTTTTCACTCTCTCAAAGTATTACCTGTTGTACAACTGAACCCTCAGTAAAACTCTAATAAACTCACGCAACAAAAAGATTCAGATTCAGACTCAGTAAACGCTGTGTGCCTATGACTAAGGTGCTAATATATGTGTTTACATGAAGTAATCCTCATGATAAGGAAAGTATTAACAGCCCCATTTGTAGGCAAGGAAAGTGAGGTTTAGAAAGATGGAATTTGGGGGGAAAGTCCCATATCCTGCCAGTACGTTTCAGAGTTGAAATCTGCGCTTAAGTTTCTCACCGTCTTCAAACTACCGTTCTTTCAACTGTCGTATGGCTGGTGACTCCCAGCTGCAATACTGGCCCAATACTGGCCCAATACTGCATCATCCTGAACGGCAGGCCCCTGTAACTGTGTCAATTAAATTGTAGAAATTAAGACAGTCTAAAACTAAATCCTAAATTAAGTGCTGGTGTGTGTGAAAGAGAGCGAGAGAGAGAAATAGAGGATATGGAAAAAGGTTGTCATATCTCACTTTATTTTTTTGTAACAGGTTTAAAATAAATACTGCATTATAGAACTGGAAACAATCACATTTGTTATTTAAAACATAGAAAAAGCAGAAGAAAAAATGCATATACACTTCAAATAAATTAGTTGTATTTTGACACTAATTCTGAGTGTAAAACCAGAAAAATTAAATGGGAAAACTCGACATGAAAGGATGACAAGTGATAAAATGGCACTTAAAAGATTTTTATTAAAAAATTACCAGAAGACTATATGATAAGTGTGGCCTCCCTCAGTGACAGCTGCTTCTGCTGCTTTCAGTTTGTGGGCAGTTCTAAAGTGTAGCATTTAATCTTGAAAAATTGCTTTAAAATGCACAGATGCCTAAGAAATGGGTGGTGTGTGATACGGCACAAAAAATATCCTCTAGCAGTCGGTCTTCAAGACATAGAGGACAGTTCTATGCTACACAGGGCCTGTCTGCTCCTGTGTGCTTCTGTCTTCCATCAATCAAGAGGACAGACCTGAACTGGGAGTGAGGGGGCCTGGCTTCTTCTACCTTCCTGGCTGGTTATTAGCCATGTGACCTTCACTTCTTGAAATTGTCTCATGTATAAAACCGGGGATAACAGCCTTGGTTATGAAGCTCAACTAAGATAAATGTATGAGAAAATACTTATAAAAATGCGAAGTCTATATATAAATGTGAGGATATATAATTCGGCTCAAAGAATTAGATGCTCCCATGTATAAGATACAGGTGCCCATGAATAAGAAATCATGTTTTTTTAGGTGATCTCAGGAGCTTTTAAGATAAGGGTTCAAATGACCTAGATTTATAAGAAATGCAACTAGGCCTGAAATGAGCCTGGATGTCCACAAGAAAGAAATTTATAAAAATACAAACACCATGTGATATACAAGTAGTATCCTCATTCTACAAAAGCCACAGGATAGACTGCAGATAACTGAACAAAAATCCAAGAAAAGCAAGGCTGGTTAACCAAAGTCACTCAGGAATGATGGATAAAATATTCAGTTAGAACCCAAGTCCTTCTAAAAACTTGCTATGCTGGTTATTAATACTATTATCTCACCTTAGGAAAACAGAGTAGGTTTCACCAACCTCATGAGAGGCACAGATTGAATTCTAGAAAGAAGTGGCTTGGCTAAGGTCATATAGGTGATGAAGACTAGAATCGAGGTTTTCTGGCCCTCAACCAATGCTCTTTTCCCACCGCCACAATGCCTTCCCTTTTCACGGTACTGATATCACTTCTGGCACATGTAAGGAAATTTTACTAGCATACTCCACCAAAATATTTTCTTTTTAACCTACCGGTTAGGTAGAGATCTTCAACCTTTTTTGTAAGACAATTTACTTCTCTGAAAGAGGGGCTTTGAGTGAGGATGGTTTAGGAATGTACTAAATCTGAAAATGACCCTAAGATTTCTATATGGAAATGGTAAGGCAAGGAGGGGAAGGAGGACTGATTTGATGGTGCGTTTACATCAAGTTTCATCCCCACGGTTCTTAAATGACTTTAGAAGGGAAAAAGCAATTATTCATGTAGTAGCCCCAAAATGTTCGTCATCCCTTCAGACAAGCCTACTCATAATAGAGTAGAGCCCTGACTGAGTAAACTACACAAGTAACTGTTATCCTGGAAGATCAGTGATTGTAAATGTCCAACTGGTGACCACTATCCTAGGACACATCCATGCTCCATTTATAAAATGATTATTCTGGTGGTTCTTTAGCAAAATATGACTTGGATCAATCAACCAACCATAAAAGGACCATAAACTCTAAGTTTACTCACCCGCAGTATCCATCTCCAGGATTACAAATATAAAAGAAACTAAAGATTATGACACAATTGATAAGTAACACTTGAAGGAAGAGATCAAATTTTAAGCTAATAGTTACACTTTATGGTTGAAATATGAGCCATGACAGAACCGCTTCTCAAACAATGAAAGGAAGGCACTAAAATAAAATTAACTTTTAGACAATTTGGGGGTATCCTGGTGGGAAATGGTGGAATAAGAATCCAGTGGGCGGGGAAACAGAAATCGGAAATAGGCCCAGCTACACAAAAACCTCTATAACTTTAGGGATATCATTTAACTTAACCTCCATGTTCTTCAGATTTTCTCACTAGTAAAATAGAAGCTATACAACTTATGCTACCTACTCCCAAAGTGAGATCAAAATGAGGGAACAGATGTGAAATTATGTTGGAATAGGTGCTATGAATACAGATTATTTTATAAACTGTACAATTGGATTAAAGACTATAGTGAACTAGATACTATACATAACATAAAAATAAAAATGCTTTCCAAAGAAACTCCTAATATTTGAGCTTTATTCATGTTATAATGCCTTAAAATATAAATTTTGAAATAAAATAAACATTCTTGTACCTTTTTAATTATTGAAAAATGTCCACACTTTCTTAGAAAAGTTATATATGAAAAGAATTTTTGCAGCATTTTAAATCAGAATGTCTTTGGACTAACTTAGAGCCCTGGTGTATATTTTTAGAGGCTTCCTTTGGGAAAGATATTTCTAAGTTTAATAAATATATACATATCAATAAATTATACTTCATGCTACAGAATCTACATGTATAAACATATTCATACTTCCTTAATAAATGGGATTTTATTTTATTTTTGATCACATATTTATTATTTTATTCATTTTTTTAAAAATCACACTTTAATGTGATATTTACTTCTTCACACTAATGAGACATGTAAATACTCCACATTCTAGAGATTGTAAACACATATCCTATGATTACGATACTTCTCATTGGCATAGTGCTTTACATTTTGCCATAGACTTTCACAAAAGGACCTCACAACAGTGTGAAGTAGGCAGGAACACACTGGCTCGAGTTGCTAGGAGCTGGCTGGCTCACAGACGTTTGGTTCCTACACTGGGACTTTCTCTCTCTGATTCAGTATTAAATATTCAAAGACAAACTTCCCACTTGAGTACGGAACCTCTCAACTTAGGAGGGGACAAATCCCTGGAATGTGATGAAGGTGATGCTTGTATGTGAAGTCAGGCTTAATGGCATGTGTGTGCCTGGTGCTCTTACCGTCCAGGTGGCCGACTTGGCGGTGCTCGACTGCTGGAAGGACACGTCGAAGCTGTGTGGGCCCGGGTAGTCGGTGTTGGAGGGGATGGCGGGCGACGGCGAGAGGGCATCAAAGGTGGAGCTGGGCTGCGCATAGGGCGAGGGCGCCGTGACACTGTTCTGCACGTGGTCTGTGTTGTAAGGGCTGGTGGACGAAGAGCCGTTCTGGATCTGCTGGTCCATGCTGTTCAGGAGCCCCAGGTTCGTGTACTGTGGCTGCAAGGACACCCGGAAACCCTGATGTTAGCCATGTAAGCGCAGATCATTGGTGCAAAAAAGGCATCATTTGGCTCATGCATTCTACAGAGGTTGACCTCACATCCAAAACACTTGTGTTAAAAGTAAAATCTCCAATTTGTGATACACAGAGACACTAAGAGTAGTCTAAGGTGTGTGTGTTTTGTTATGACTTTCACAGATCACACAGTTCTTATGTGCTACCTTTGGAGACTGGTTTCCTCAAGAGCATTTCAAAGTATAATACGTGCTTATTGACAAACTATGCAAAAAGTGCCCAGAGCTTAGTAACTGCTTAGGAATTCCTTAAAATAAATGAATACTACCTTATTCCATTTTTTTTTTTTTTGGCCATGGCATCCAAAATGATAAAAACCACTTGATATATTCTAGAGGGGATTTAAATATCAAATTGTTGCATATGGGGCAAAATCAGAAGACCTTCAAATTTTCTCTTAGTCCTAATTTTAAATTCTGTCCTAGGATACACACAGTGTCCCCTCCCTCAGGGACTAATTTCCCAAAGACCGGAGAGGCATGGGAGCTGGGTTAGGGACACCCAATTATACATTTTAAAAGGTAACAATGCTAGTGCATCATCCAAACATGGTCTAATTTTTTATCTGTTATTTTATTTTCTTCATAGAAGTTCATTCTTTTCTAGAGTAGAACATGTACAAGAGAAATACCATCTAGTTGTGAATAAAATTCTATGCATGATATAATTCAGAGGTACATTAGCTCTTGTAGGGCCTTCTACCAGATGCTTTAATACCTTCTATGTGAATAGGTCTGAACACAGTAAGTACTCAATAACATGTTCATGGAAAGAACAAATTAATTTCTTCCCATTTAATCTAGAAAACAACTTTACTACATTATTGTCAGAGAGGTAAAGCAGTTTGCCCTAGCATCAGCTAATACGCAGCAGAGAGGCAGTTTTGAAACGAAATCTTCTGGTTCTGAGCTCGGGGCTCTGTCTGTGCCATCGCAACCATCAGCCTAATCAGGTAAATCATCCCAGAGTCACTCCTAAACCTGAGACACACTGGACAACATTTCCAGAAGGGGCAAACAGCCTATGGTACCGTTTTCCTTTCGTGAAACCTTCTGACACATGGAAATCTCACTGTTTCTTCAAGTTAGTGATGGAGGGGTGGGAATCAAAAGCAAGAAGAGGAAGGCAGCCTTGTTGGTACATATTTTATAAATTTTATAAATGGGCCTTCAATTGAAATATAACTCAGAGACCCAGACTATGTAAAACTATGGGGAAAAACAAGTTACAAAGAAATAGGGGCTTGAAAATTTTTAAAATTTTAAACTTGAAGTTTATTAAAATTATTGTATTAAACTTTATTTTTTTGTTTTCACATGGGGAGGAGAAATGGACCCTGCCATTCCATTCAGTCCAGAGAGCGTCTGTCTAAATGTTAACAGTCCCATGCCCACTCCATTACATCCATGCATTTGCATTCCACTGCTGAATGCCACGTCCCCATTTGCTCTTCAAATAACTATTAATCTCTGTACACTTATCCCTATGACGACAAGAGCAGCTGTTTGTCTCGCCTTCTCTCCCCTCTGACTTCTACAGCTCCTATCCCTCATCTATCCTCCATCTTCAGCTTCTCCTCCTGACAGGTGTGGCAAAACTGCAGGTAAGACAACTAGAGAAAAAAAGGAAAACCTGAGGCCCGTACAAATGGTCCACGCCCCTAGCTGAACTAAAGCTCTTAGTTATCCAAGCCTGCGGCAACAGCCCAGGGAAGGGGACTGAAAAGATATTATTTGTGTTCAAGTTAAGGGTCAGTATACAAAGCACTCCTGCATGTCCTGTAGGAATCAGATAATGTTCCCAAAGGCACGTGTACAATTAGGAAGGCAGCCGTCCCTGACAAAAAGGACAAAGAAACTCTGAGCACTTTCTCTCTGGCAGTAAAATGCCTGTTGGGCCACCCCTTCCTCCTCCTTCTTGCTACACAGAAGGAACTTCAGCTAATTGTGGGCTTGGATGAGAACAAAGAAACATGGGCTCTTTGAATTTTTTTAATGCAATATATATAAAGAGAAAAGTTTTGGGACCCGGCTTTAAAAGCCAGTGAGCAAACATTCTTCAATTCTCTAAGGACTAAAGAAAAAGGGAAATTCCATTTACTGAGAAGTCACAAAGGAGACCCTTGGAATGATAGTAAGACTGAACATGTTGGGTGGCACCAAAGAAGCAGAAAAAAAATCTATATTCCAAACATCAGTAACAGCACTGTGGGTGCTGATGGGTCTATTTTTAAATGCCATAATTTTTCACTTTGTACCATTCTAGTTGAAATTTTGTACTTAGATGCCACGGCACTCTAGCTCGGGCAATAGAGTGAGACTCTATCTCAAAAAAAAAAGGGGGGGGGGAGAAAAGAAACTTTGTACTTAGGAACAACAGGATTTGTTCCCAATGCTAATGCCTCAATTAATATAACACAAAATTAGATTTCTCAGGCTTGGTCAAAAATCAGCTTACTATACAAGATAAAAATGGGAAAACACATTTCAATTTAAACTCTTCTCAAACTGTACTTTAAAGAAATATAAACCAAATAGTATATTCAACTGTCTTTAAAAAATAAATAAAAGCAACACTGATTTTGAATTAGTTAGCTTAAAATGAACATAAACAACAACCCACCTACCAAACTAAGAATTGCATGATTGGAAGCTTACTTAGATACTTTTGTTTATTAAAAATCAATAAATCATAAGCCTGCAATAGGAAACGGTGCTTTAGAAGTTAATTTTTAAAATATCTAGTTTAAAATAAAGGTTCTTATTTGCCTATTTCTTTGAAGTGAAGAGAGAATGTTCATGTTAATAGAGTACAATCGGAGGGCAAAGGCAGGCCATCATAGCCAAGAAGAACAAGTGTTACTCAGGCAGGACCAGCGAAATAATTTGTAGTACTCAGTGCAAAATGCAGGACCTTTTGTTCATAGATTATGAATAATTTTCAAAATAGTGATAGCAGGACATTAAACAAAGCATGGTTCCCTTCTGAGAATGGGGCCCTGTGTGACTGCCTGTATAGTTTGCATGCCAATGAAGCTAGCTCTGTCCCAGTTCAATGTGTCTAATTCACTTATTTTCCAACAAAGTGAATCTGGTGGGGCAAAGGGAACACTACCTTTTGTTTACTCTCAGTAATTCCATAAACACAGAGGAGAGGAACTTGTGTTACGTGGGGATGCTATTATAGCAATGCTTATTGACAATGACAAGTAAAAGAGTTTCTGAGATTCGAACATGACACTTCCATATCAGCCACAAAAACTGGCCTCAGAAGAACACTGTGGAGCCCCATACATCCCGTGTGTTTTTTAAGTAACAAAAGTTATGAGCATATTTGAAATGAAATAGGAAGTAGGTTCCCCCTTTCTAACCACAAGTATCTTGATCTCAGAATAATGTTAACATACTCCGCAGGCACTCAAATAATGAGTGAATGAAAAATGTTATATATCTGCCATATCATGTCTAAAAAAAGAGCCAGTTTTCTGTTCACAAAATGTAAAAGGGCAAAACTGAACACAACTTGTGTGATATCTACTGCAATGCTAACAAAGTAAAATAATGGATTTCCTCTGATTTCAAAAAGATGCTTCATTTCCTATAAAATAACTTTGAAATAGAAGACTCACTGCCTGGACCCTGGAAAATCACCATCTGTTGGTGGACTGCATTCAAGTTCATCAGAGACTAGCTGATCTGACCACAGAAAGGATGAAGCACACCTTGGTCATAGGAACTTAACATACTCTGTGTAATCACAGAACACCCCAGGAGTGTTCTGAAACATGGAGCTTGCGAGGTTAAGTATAGGGATAGATAGGAGAATCTCAAACTATTTGTTTTCACCATGAATAAAGAATAAATATAACTGCCAATTCCCAAACACAGAGAAAAAAGTGTTTCCTTTTTTCTTCTTTTCCCATAAGTTCTTTTGCATTCTCATAGCCAACTATAGACTTTGATCTATTTCTTCACTAAACTTCAATTTGGATGCTCAGAATTAAACTAGCCATATAGAAGACTGGATTTTCTCTGCCTGGTCTTTTAAAAGTGTCCTATGAATACCATCCCTGTAGTTTCATCTTGTTTTTCTTTTCTGGATTACATCCTTGTAATGATCTTAAAGTCTAAATATAATGGGTCTGAATTTTCTTTTCATAAGCTCAACAATGTGTCAGTATATATTGCTATAAACAAAGCTCAATATTAAATACCTGGATTTATATTTATTTAAAGTTGATGATATAATTAATTTCCTATAAGAATTTTAACATCAATAAAAGGATTCCAATGAAGTTATTTGACCAGTGCAATAGAAACAGGGACATAAGCATAATTATGTTTCTGAAAATCTCTCTCCGCCAATTTATCTGTACAAGAGAAATTTCATAAGTTCTCTTTTTCAGACACTATTGTCTGTAATAGCTAACTTATGACAACATGGCAACAATAACCAACAATATATGACAAGAAGTTAATAAAAAATGGGACTGGGGAGAGGTTACTGTGGGATATAGAATAATTCATTTATCTCAATTCAATTGACCCTTGTTACAAGAAACAATAACGTTCCCAAATTTCATTTGGAAGAAATTATAATCCATGAGTGACTGTTAGATGGGGCTAGGGAATTGAACATTCTTCAGCATGACTAACATTCCTCTATGGATCCTAGTAAATGCAAAAGACTGAACTTAGACTTGTTGACATGGGGTTTAAGTCTAAACACTGCCATTAATGTGCTGTGTACCACTGGGCAAGGTAATTGAACAACTTAGACCTCATTTCCTATAAGGCAAAATCTGTGTAAAATTGAGAAGATTGAATCTGATGACCCAAAGTAAAAACGGTGCCAATTCTAACATTCTGTTAGTTATGGTTATCCTCATCTCTGAAGTTATTTTAAAATAATGCTGTGAGAT